CTAGAAGGACTAAAGCTGGGCTTCTGGACTCTACTTGGACTCCTACCCTACAGGTCTACAGTTCGAATCTTCCTACAGCCTACAACCTACGGTGACCTACTTACCACTGGCTATCGTGCAGGTCACGGGTTCAACTCCAGGGAACTGTACAGATACTGTACACAGGTAAGCTGAGGTCAAGGGATCGACCCCTGGGATCTGCACCGGCTACTGCCAAAGGTGAAAACTGTTTCACTCAGAATTACCTCCTTCCCACAAACCTCGTACCCTTCATTTTTCACGAAGGTTGTCTTCATCCCGTCTCCATACACGAATGGACACATCACGAGTGTATCCCCTAGGTTCCCATCCAGGGGAGTCCACACCAGTCCATCCCATCTCACTGCCAGTTGCCAAACCTCGGCCAGGTCACCTGAGGCGCCCATATCTGGTCTCCCTATGCAGCGTTCGACTTCCTCGGGCGAGAAACTGATCTTTCGGACTCCTTTTCCCGTCCAACTTACGCCATCCACTCCGTCAGACAACTCTTTCACCAATCTAGTCACCACACTGTCACTCCCGTCTCTCAGCTCATTCTTAGCGTTCCGAGCGGCAACGATGACAGGACACACTGCCAACTCTCCTAGCCGGAAATGGACGTGCCCACCCAGTCGAGGGAAGGGCATATCGGTGCAAGCGCGCACCCAAAGACTCCATCCGCCGCGTAGCAGCAGTGATTATGGAGACTCTTGCCCTCATTCTGGCTCCTCGTCCATACAACGCGGGTGCGTCTCGAGTCAGCTAAATCATAAGACTATATTATGGAGAACATACATGCGCAGTGAGATAAGACTATTATAAGGCAGGAGCTAAATCACAAGTCCTTATTTGTATTTTTGCTTGTTTATTCAAAAAATGGACCATTTCTCGACTTATGCCTGTCATCCTTCTGCTTGTGCCATGCTGATCGTCTCTGTGCCCAAATTTAATGGACAACTGTTTATACTTTCAGAAATCCTGCTGCACAAAGCCATGAAGCACACAATAGATATCTATGTCAGAGAAAGGGTGCGAGTTCCGTTTGTATTCGTTTTTCGCATCTGATTCCTAAAACAGGCCCTTGCTAATGCATGCCCTTCGTTTTTTTTCTTTACACACTTCTCACCATCTTCTTCGCACTCCGTTTGTTTCTCGCTTCTCTATTTGCCCGTGGGCCAGAGGTCTGGTATGAAGCCTGGTAAAAACTTATATACTGAACGTCACTCGGTTAGCTGAAAGACACAGATGTGTCGCTCATCTTTTTCCCTTTTCTTTATTGGCTTCCCTATATAGTAGAAGCTGTGTGATTTGTTACGTCTGATAGTTTGACGCGTGTTGCATTGTGCATGTGGGCAGGTTCCAGGAATGAAGGAACTGCTTGTAGCCTTGATCCCGTACAGCTCGCGACATTTCAAGAGACTGGATCGTCTGGTCCGATCGACATTCATCCTGGACTATACTTTGTCATGCATGTCTGTTCTGTTCCCGATGAATGAGGAGGACATGAATCCTCTTGATGTGGCCGAAGGATTTTTGACGCAAACTGGAAGTAAAGGGATTGCAGCCCGTAAAGTGCACTCAACTCTTCGTCTTACATATGCTTCCACACCTTCGAAGGCTGATGGTTCGAAGCCTGATGGGCCACAAGATGCTGCTGATGTAGCCATGTCGAAGAATGCTGTGGTTGATGGAATGGAGGAGGAGGAGGAGGAGAGGGTTCAGGGTTCGTCGAAGCCATCTGGTGATGTGGAGAATGGGGCGGCGGAGGATGGCGTGGATGCGATGGGTGGTGATGATGGTGGCAATTCAGATGAGACGAACACTGTCCCCAAGGGGGACAAAGTTGGCTTGGATATGGCAACCAAAGGTCCTGAGACTCAGAAGAAGAAGCAGAAGCAGAAGCAGAAGCAGAAGCAGCAGAAGAAGAAGAAGAAGGAAACACAGCAGTCGAAGGGTTCAGGGAAGAGTACTCCCGTAGATGCAACGACTGCTGTCGAGCCTGTTCTGGCTGGGCTACCAGGAGATGAACCTGCGGGTGATGTGCGGGACAGCCCTGCTGATGATGGCAAGTGTGAAGCTGGGCCAGTGTCTAATGGTGAACTTATGGGGGGAGTGAGTGGTACGAACGATCGGAAGACGAGAAAGAAAAAAGTAGGTGGTGGAGTGGAAAGAACGTCATCGGGGAGCTCTGCGGGAAAGACAGTCCCAGGGGATGGTAATGCTGATAGGGTACGAGCGTTGTTGCAGGGGCTGGATCTTGAAATACAGTTGAGTAAGAAGCGAAAAGGCAAGGGCAAGGAAAGTAATGGTCAGACTAAAGTGGAAAGCGTCAAGAAGAGGAAAGTAGCACTCACTGTATGATGTTGCCATACTGGTTGGAGGCATCGTCATCCTCAATTTTGACACGTTTTTTTTTTTTTTTTTTTTTTTTTTTTTTTTTTTTGACTCTTTGAGGAGTAACCTGCTCTTTTGTTGTGAGTTTGCAAGTTTTTTGTTTCTTTTTTTTTTTTAACTTGTGAACAAGTTTTTATGAGTTACACGCTCATCGACCAAATTGAATTGTGAGTTTGGAATTCTATTTGGTCGACGTACGTGTACTGTTCTACAAGATGAGTTTTCATCGTCTTTACTCCGTGCTGTTTTGGCAGGTTGCACATCCACTGACACAAACATGGCAGCTGGAGAGAGGACTTGGTTGAGCCCACCTGTCAACGTCTGGTTGGACGATGTTTCTGCAGTGGCCACCAGCAGTATGAATGTAGTTCGGCGATGTTTCAGCAGAGTATGAACCGTGAGTGTGGTAGCTACCATCTGGAGTGAAACAGTAAGAATTTGAATTTACACACTTGTACTGGAAGCCAATTCTCCAAAATTATACTAGAGTACTCTTCGCACTCTGGTACTTGAAAAAAAATCCTCTGAACGCTGAGATGGAAGAGGTACCAGAGATCAAGGCCCACATCTTAAACCACCAGTACTTGGCCCAGCTATCAAGTCAGAGCCTCGGCCAACCGGTGTGCCAAGCCTTGCCGAGGCTCGAACTACCGGGCGCTAACTTCCCAAACGTGCTTGGAGAAGAACACGGAATAAAAAACACACACACAAAAAAAAACACAAAATGCAAAAAGCAACGACAGAAAAACGGGATTTACTCTAAAAAACATGGAGAAAAGAAAAGAAAAAACGGTTACTACCTCCTCGACATGCACAAAAGACAATAATCAAGTTGGTGTATCTTTGCATGTTCTAGTGGAAGATTCACTCTCGTTTCGTTTTCGGAAAAGAGAGAGAGAGAGAGAGAGAGAGAGAGAGAGAGCAAGTTGCTGTATCTTTGCATGTTCTAGCGGAAGATTCACTCTCATTTCGTTT